TTGCTCCCACAACCATTGGGCTTGATAGTCAATAGAGAGTCTACGCATATTTAAAAAAAAAAAAAAAGACTTTTTTTATGAACAGTGGAGTTCAATTTTTGTTACCTGTCACTGGTGCTGTGCAATTGATTCTGTAAATTCGCTGAGCGATTGATCATTTAACTCATTCATTTGATTTTTATTTTTTCTAAACACTTGAAATTGTTAATCTGGTTTTAGTGGAGAAAAAAAAAGATCAAGGCTGAATCATATGTTTGTAAAAGTTTGGCATGATGAAGGTGCACTGAGTGTAGATGTAGATTGCTGCCTTAGCTATTAAGCTAGCCGCTAACTTGCGAGCTGCAGCATGCTTGCCACTCGTGGTCGATCAATAGCTTTTACACATTCGTTGTTGATTTATTTGCATACTTGAGTGGCATTTTTAGTTTTAAACATGAGTTGTGTGAAGCCTGGGCAGGTAATGACAGTTTCAAGAAGGTCGCAGTTTTATTAGTAACTGCTCTTCATTGGAAATCTGATTATGAAAATCAGCTAATTCCAAGTTTAACCAGCAACATGGACAAGATTGTGTTGACCTTTGGAGTACCACTGTAAAGCGTACAACAAATTTTCTGCACATCACTGACGCATGTTCAACATGTTTTTACCCCCCCCCCCCAAATAATACTAAATCCCTTTCATACAAAAAAAAAACATATTTTTTTTCTTCTTCTGGCCTAGCTGACTTTCTCACTCAGCAGATATATCGCTTTTCAACGAGCCGCCAAATGAAGCCTTTAATATATCTTACTTGCAGCAGGCAATCAATCAGGCAGTGACTCTATTACCACTAACACAATTACGCTAATTCAATGCAGAGCAAAGCCGGCAACCCAGATAGGACCCAGAATTTCTTGCTGGTTTCCATCCTTCATATACATCTATGTATGTGTGTGTGTGTGTGTGTGTGTGTGTGTGTGTGTGTGTGTGTGTGTGTGTGTGTGTGTGTGTATGAATATATACAGTATGTATATTTAGATAGCTAGATAGCTAGCTAGATAGATAGATTAGATACAGGTAGAGAGATCTATGTTTAGATAGCTAGCTAACTATATAGATAGATAGATAGATAGATAGATAGATAGATAGATAGATAGATAGATAGATAGATAGATAGATAGATAGATAGATAGATAGATAGATAGATAGATAGATAGATAGATAGATATTGTCCAAGATTTGGAAGTATATGACCAAACAATGGCATGTGGAGGCTTTTCGACAGTTTACTATTCACAGGCAAAGATGTGAGTGGCAAACAAAAACAACAATGAAGCTAAATGAGCCCCCATTAGAGCTCTTGGACAGAAGGTGGTGGGAGGCAGTTGACTGGGGGAGGATATAAATAAAGTGGCAGTATATGGAGGCGACAGACTGGCTCTTAAAAATAGCGCAGGTTATTTACACCAGCGCGGGACTAGGGAGGAACAGAAGCTCAGAGATGACAGTGGGGAGGCTAGTTCTGCATACTTAATGTTGAATAGAGAATGAAATGTGGGCGGGGTGTCGTACGGGGTTGCTGGGTGTGGTGGTGGTGGTGGTGGGGTGCATAAATACTGAAGACACGATGGAGAACTATAACGGTTGAGCGAAGATTCAAAATTGTCCGTAGGTGTGGATCCTTGTTTATTTATATGTGCCCTGTTATTGGCTGGTGACCAGAAGATCAGCGCTGCAGAAAAAGGATGGATGGGTGTAATAATTATGCCCCCTAGTGGCAGTGAGTAGAATAAGTGATCAATCTGATTGCTTGCTTAATAAGTGCAATTATCTTTGACTTTATAAAATGTTATCTAGTTTTAACTGGACAAACACAATAGCTCACACACATTTAGTTTTAGTTATGTTTGTTTTTTTTCCCTCGCACTGAATGACACCCCCAAACTCAACTGAAGTAGAACACCTGCGACCCTGTATCAGGTTTTGAGGCTCACGTACAGTATGCAGCACAGGATTTATATTCATTGTTTTAACTGTTTTTAGTTTCATATGTCAGCTTTTTATTTTATGTACTTTGTATTGCAGCAGTGGATTTTTAAAAAGTGTTCCATAAATAAAGTGGCGTGAACCACAAAAACATGGCGTGGTTGTCAAGGAAGAAGCAGATGGCCACAAAGAGATGAAAAGGATGATAATAACGGATATGTTGGATATATTGAGAGGTAATTGGCACTTTGCACTTTCCTTTCTAGCCCAAATCAGAAATTAGAAATACTGTCAAGTACTATTGTAAAATGCAATCAATATATAGTGTACTGTATATAATGTATTGGTATGGCTGACTGTGTCTTTTTAATTTGTGAAACTTACTATCACTTCTGATCGGTTGTTACTCTGTACATATTGCGACGTAAAAATAATTTAAAACTTATTTTACTGTATTCATTATAAAAATACATATTTTACAGATTATTTGAGTTCAAAAACGGCACTAAAAATGCGCGCGTATATGCAGCCAAGACTCACTGTGCCTTTTTTGTGCTGATTTCTGTTATGCCCACGAGTTAATTGTGTGCAATAAGAAAAATCTTAAACAACTTACAATTCGCAGTCATCATTCCAAAGCAAGTGAGTGATGTTTAAGTCGTACAAATGAATGTCAACGGTCAAGTACAACATTACATAGTCAGGATGTAACTGGTCATTCCTTATAGAGCAACTCATAGATGTGACAGATAGACACTTTGGCCTTGTCACAAAAGCGCACACTTCCTGTCAGTTTGTCACAAACTGAATGAAAACTGCAGCGATCTAGGCCATGTGAGAGAAAGTGGAAGTCAGAGAGGGGGGAAAATAAAATCAACAACATAAATAAGTTGCTGTCCAGCTAACTTGAACTTGACAAGGGGGCGAAAACAAGATGACCAAAGACTGACTTTTCGGCAAAACGTTACGCAACTTTTCCCAGCGCGACTCATCGTTTGGGCGTTTCCTCCTGAAAATAAAGTCACCACGCCCGATAGAAAACCCCAACAGCCACAACTTGAGCCTTTTGAAGACATTACCTTTACAAGTTCATTTGGTAGGAAGCCTATAGTGGAGTCTTCAGCAATAAAACACTATAACACAAAGAAACAATAATATAGGCACAGTGTATCATGACCAAATTGCATAATATCAGACAGAGTCGGACCATGCAAATTGCGTCGGGTTGTGTAAAATTACAATGTATAAGTCCATACAATAGTGCAGGTCAACCGTACAGGTCAACCGTACAGAATACAGACGACTCGTATGGGTACACGGGCTCAAAGCACAATCTATACAGTATGGCTATATACAGAACAATGTTCTTATAGTCAACGAAAACTAATGAAATAACTAAAATGGAAAACACACTTTTGTTAATGTGATCAAATAAAAACGATTTAAAAAAAAGATCAAAACGAAAAACTAACTCACTTTAACCATCGCAAAAATCTCCTTTGTTTTCATCTTTGCCATTCGATACCACAAATGAGCTTTCGGGTTTCATTTTAAATGTATTTATTTCGTGAGTGCTGGACAGCTAAAGAAGAAGGAAGGTCAAAGAGTTGTTTGGGAAATGTAGTTTACTTTATTACACGGTACTTGCAATAAAAAATTCCATATGTTACCCAAAAAACTGTAACTAATACTAAAACTAATAAAAACAGATTTTTATTTGGGGGGGGGCGTACATGTCTCGGTCAGGAATGTGTGTCATCAACCAGCCAACCGACCCTTGGTGGTTCGTTTGTGTTTGAGAATATACATCAATGCCCCCCCCCGCCAACACACACACACACACACACACCAAAATATTAGCAATATTATGGGTAGGCCCATCTACCGGATGATGTTTGGACAACCGTTAGCATGGGCCAAAATTGTAGAAGTGCCAAGTCACATCAAAAGAGTGACTTTTGAAAGTCCTTCACCAAACTGTGGGCCACCTTCAGCATGCACACACACACACACACACACACACACACACACACACACACACACAGGCGTTAAATCACACAGCTGTCTCTTTTACCACACTCACACACACACACTTGCTCAAAATAAGTTCAGAGAAACTCTGACAAGTGTTTAAAACCTAACTAGGAGACTTATTTGAACTTCCTCTTGATGATGTAGCATTCCTGTGTGCTTCTATTTCTGTCTATTACCCCACATTTAATGCGCGCGGGGCATGCTTTGTCTCAGACATATTGTTTGTGCTTACCAAAGAAACCAATTTAAATCTGGTTACTGAAGGAACTAATTCAAGTCTGACGTCATTATAGCAAACAGAGCCCGCATTTAATTAGCGTACCACGTGACTGTCGCACATATAAGCGCAAAAGAGGAAATAAAGCAAGCTGATAATGAAAATACCATCATTAAACAAACAAACGATAGAAACGCAAAGGACTGACCTTCTGTGGCTTTCTTCCTGCGAACCAAAGTACCCCCTAGTCTGCCCAGAAAAGACTCGTCCTTTTTGCTTTTGGCGGACTGCGAGCTAGCGGACATCTTTCACAACAGTGCGTGTGTGTGGCCGTGTGAGCTTGGCTCTCTCACACACGTCTCACACACACACACACTAGTGATGACAACCGGGGAACGGCGCATGCAAACACACACACCGGCCAAGTCAAGGGCAGAGAGGCTGGGGCGACGTTCGGCGTGACTCACGTGGACCAGTGCGTCAGTTCACAGCGCCCCCAGCAGGACAAAGTGGAACTACACACGGTGTTTGTTAGGGTGAAGTCAACCGGCTGGAGGCAAACTCCAAAATTTGGTGCCTTCAGGTGCCTTCAGGCAAACTGGCACCAAATTCCTGGCCCCATAAATGAGCCTTGGAACAATATTCCAACCCTGCCACCCCAAACACAAACACACGCGCTCACACAAACACGGTGACACCCTTCCCTCCAGTCAAATACATAAAATGGAATGAATGTGAATGATTTTAATCTTTTATAAAAAAGTTGACTCAAAAATAAAATGCATTCCAGGTTCAATTTTGTATTTTTTTTTTTTTTGTTCATAGGTGCATCGGTGTGACTGTGTCCAGGGTTACTCCACATCTCACTTGGTCAGCTGAGAAAAAATGTAAACAAAAAACAAAACAAAACAAAAAACAAATAGATGGATGGAATATGAATAACACTCGCAGTACAGTGGACCCTGTGGTTAGCATGTCTGCCTCACAGTTCTGAAGCAGCACGTTTGAGTCCGGGGCTTTGGCCTTCTTGTGTGGCGTTTGAAATTAAATGGAAGGAATACAGAATGCAGCTTCAGTTGTCCTCGCCTCCACTTTCTTGGACTGTTTTGATGAGAAAATAGGATAGAGTGAAAGGCTTGACACACATTAATATCTATATATATAATAACCTGTACAGTGGAACCCCAAAGATCCACATATAATTGAGGATCATTGAAATGCATTGAGGGAAAAAAAAAAAGAAAACAAAAAAAAAAAAAATTCAATAAATGCTGATCATGTATTTGTCCACTGTATACTGTACCAAAACCTCAATAGAATGTTCAAGAGACAATGCTTGCGTGTGCACGACGATTTGCTCAAGGGAACAACGGCATCTTCTTTTGCATTCTCACCTGAAGTCCTCACCAGCATCCAGTGGGCCTGAAGGCCACCTCTCAAGCGCTCCAGTGCCTCAACATCTTCATCTACTGGAGCAGGGAGTTGCCCCAGAGAGGGTGCAGGACTCCCAGAGAGGGAGGACGCCGTTGGCTTGACAAAAGCTTTATCATCCTCCTAAAATGGAGCCCATGAGTTGGTTCATTTTCACAATGCCAGATGGACATTGATCACAAGGTAAAAAACAACAACATCCAGGTGGGCTTAATACAAAGCTAATTCTTCTCACCTGCACCAGCACAAGCATGCGACCCCGAGCCAGGCCCTGCAACAGTCCAGTCAGCTGCTGCCACGCGCCGTCGCCGGGGCTGCCCGCGCCCGGAATTCGCGCCAGCAGCACCAGAGCGGGGTCGTACTCGTAGGCGAGAGGCAGGAGGAGGCCCAAGGTGGCCTGCGCCAACCCCGACGTGTCCCCGCAGCCATTCTTCAGACGCATGGATACGTTATGTTGGCGCTTGGGCTCCTCTGCCGCCTCCTTGCTGATGTGCACTCGAAGTGTTGTCCTAAAAGAGCGACACGCAGCGATCATGATTGATGGTTGATTATACAGTTGGACCCCCGGTTCATCACAGGGGATGCATGACAAAGGAGGGATGATATTCACCCATCTTCTGGCAGGTGACTCAGGACTCCAATGCCTCCTAAACATACAACCAAAACGCTGCACAAAAAAAAGGAGCGTGGGGGGGGGACAACTTGGCTTGCTTACTCGTGCTAATCCAGTTGCAGTTAGATCCACTTTTACCGTTGTTTGAGAGTGGTTGTATGCGTGATGACTGTCTCCAGTGCCACGGAGATGTCACGGACCAAGGCCAAGCCGTTGCGGATCTGGTCAGGGGAAATGGAATGTCAATATTTTGGATGGAACGAAAAGCAGCGGGGCTCAAGTGATAGCTTTAGCCACACATTTGGGTGCCAAGAAATGTCAACGGTTTTAGAGTATTTTGATGTCCCTGAATCCGAAAACGATTTTTTTTTTTAAATTGGCACAAGCTTTTGAGATTTTCCATGTTTTTCTTGAAAGAAAAATCACAATCACACACAAGTTATGAACTACGATATTGGTCTTTCTCAAGCGGATCAGTTTATTTCTTTAAAAAAAAAAAAAAAAAAACTCGGCAGCCCAAAATATCTGAAAAATAAATTAATTTTGTGAGCCAGTGAGTGTTATGTTAAAGGTATCTGAATGTTTTTAAAGACTTTCAGTTCAGACCGTTTTAACCACATATGACCGCGAGTCTCCTAAAAAGTAAGCAGCTCATATTTGAGAAAATGTTTGAAGTGTACCTCATTCTTCAGCAGTTTCCCGACAAGTGCAGTGAGACTGGATAACGTAGAGACCGCATCGCTGTCAAAATCCTCCTTTCTTGGAGGGAGAGGGAAAGACAATCACTGGAACTTAAGTTGTCCACTTTGGTTGTCGGCTTGAAACAAAAGAGGATCGCACTTGGCTGAGAGCGAGTCGGCATGAGGCGACAAGCTGAAGCGTTTGCATCCGTCAGGACAAGTCACGTGCTCCGGAATCACCACCGCTGTGCGTACGGGAGGCGCGACGTACTTCTCAGGCTCGGGCCACGTTACGGCGTCAACTGCTTCTCCCCTTTGAAGCTTTTCTTCTCTTTCTTTTTCTTCTAGCTTACAGCGCTTAGTGCTGACTTCTGCGGGGGCTGCTTCTGCTGGAGTAATGTACAAAAACAAAAGTTGCGAAAATACAGTAAATGGATGTTGAGCAGGTGAGTGTTGATACGAAAACTGTATTTACAACGAGCTACTCATCAGTCCAGTCATACCTGCATGCCTGAGACAGGACCAATACTTCCGATGAGCTGCGCGTACACACTGAATGGACTCCAGTGCGCTGCAAGACAAACAGTTCCACTCTGAAAGTCGGGCCGTCGCGGACAAACTCAGACTGGCGACGCGGCGCGGCCGAACCTCTGACAGGGGCCTTGGAGTTTGGCGGGCCGGGGCGGCGGATCGCCGAGTAGAGTTTGAACCGTGACACACACGGATTGACTGAGCGAAGTCAAGTTGTATCCGCCCTGGGAAAACGTTGGGATGCTATCACAAGGTTCAAATCCTCATGAGAGGTTTTGCGGTCCGACCTCCAGCACGGCACACAATTTTCCCTCGGCGAGATTCATCAGCAGGTGGGTAAGGTGGGCAAAGATGTCGGGGGTGGCACACATTTCACCCTGGAAAATATCATCGCTCCATTAAGGGATAGAGAAAGGCTACCGGCGTGGTGACCTGGCTACAAAATGGAAGTGGATGTGATCACACCTCTCCACTTTTATGAATCAAAATGGCTATCCTACTGACTTTTTGGGGTGGTTTTAACTACTTCTGCCACTAGGGGCACTGCACTGTACGGTAATGCAATTTTGGGTGCTTTTAACTACTTCCACCACTAGGGGCACTGCACTGCATTGTAATACAACCACTGGGGGCAGAATACTACAAATGGCCCAAACTAAGAGCACGGTGGTGTGTGTCAAGTACCTCTGGGTCCCCAATGGCAGAGTCAAAGCCTGCGGACACCAGCACCAACTCCGGGCAAAACTGTGACAAAAGTCGGGAGAGTTCAGTCAACGAAAGCTGAGCGTCTGTTTACATTCATGTAACTCGTCTCACCTCGTAGGCGACCGGCAGAAGGACGTGACAGAAGACAGCAAGGTAGTCGCTGTTCTGCATGCCGACCTGGAAATGGGAAAGAAAATGAAAAGAAGTGGTGGAAAGGAAATGGAAGGAGGTCCCCTGGGTCTGGCAAAGTTAGCAGACCTACGAAAAAATTGGTTCTGGGACATTTTGAAGCAGCAAAAAAAAATTATGCTTGTTTTAAATATCGCAATACTGTATTTTATATTCCTGTAAGGCGAAGTAGAGAGAAACTCCCTGACCTGGCAAAGTTTTATACTTTACTATACTATATTGTATATCGCTATGCCAAACTGGAGAGTAAATGGAAAGAGGTTCCAATTCCCGGGAAAAGTTAGTACACATTAAAAAAAATACAACATTTTAAAAAAAAAGTATGAAGTTAAATTATTCTACAACTTACACATCAAAAGTTTGTTTCGAATGTTGCAATATCATATTTACCGGCAACACAGACTGTTGAAAAATAAACGGCGTGAGGTTCCGCAGGGCGAGCAGTTGTCAAGTCTATTGCAATGCTCTGTGCTTCAGCATTGTGAATTTGAAAATATAGTTTTTGTTGTTTTGAAAGAAAAAAAAAAGAGTTTGTACACAGTATATGTACAACAATGAGTGGTAAGTGCAAGACCTTATCCTGTCACTGACCTTGTTCCAGGGTACGTTTATATTGAAGCCAGCACCTTTGTCCTTGCCAACACTGTCATAGTCTGATTCCCTGAGTTCAGGCCAGAATTTCTGATGCTCATAGCGGTGCCAAGAGAAATAAAGCACGCTGTGGAAAGACAGCAATGGGAAATTCTTATCAAATCTAAAGAAATACAGTCAATGTGCACACCTTGGATCGTCCTCAAATGCATACTGCACCCCTTGACCGTGATGGATGTCCCAGTCAACTACCAGCACCCTGAAAAGAAGAGTACGTTTAGGTATATATTTAAAAAAAATAATAAATCCCCAAGGATGCATTGGTGTGCATCCGTGTTACCTTTGAACTCCATATTTTTGCTGGGCATATTTGGCTGCTATGGCCACATTGTTGAACACACAGAAGCCACTGGCGGCTCTGCGCATGCTGTGGTGCCCCGGGGGTCTATTCAGAATAAACGACAGGGCAATATCGGTCAAATAATGAAACAGAGCGAGATGGACCTCAAAGTTCTTACCTGACCAGAGCCATGCCATTTCTCACCCTCCCGGTCATCACGCCGTCTACCAGCTGCAGTGCGGCTCCCACTGCCAGCGTGGCGCAATGATAGCTGTTCTGTAGCACAAAGTGGATGCAACCCGTCAAGGTCTTGGACAACTGTAAATGGCCGCCGAGTGACTTGGAACTACATCGAACCCCTGATTGTTTTCACGGCTTTCCATAAATGGCAGAAAAGCACATTGTGACTGTGACCCGATGTCTCGATTTTGCTAGATTGCAAAATTTGCGAATGTTGGAAAAAAAATACCACTAACTGGATGGAAGTAGACTGCTCCATACTGCAACGTGAACTCCCTCAGGTCGTCCAGAGACATGTATGGGGTCTTCTTCACTGCTTCCAGGTACTCCTCGCTAGAGCAACATTTTCTAACACTTCAGGAGGCATGAAATTTTTTTTTCAAACAATGGGGGTTCTGGACTCACCAGTGAATCAGGAGAATGTCGTCGTCTGTGGCCTGCCGTACAGGTACGGAGGCACATCGAGCAGCCAAACCGCTCCTGACCAATGCTTCATAACAAGCCGTGAGACGCTCGGGCCTCTCGATTTCACAATCTGGACTGGAAGCAGAGGTTTGGATTTTTATGATATATTTTTAAGCTGCTGTTAACACAGCCCAGCATACAGTTTAGCTATTTTGATCACACTGAACAGATAGCACCTACTCGAAGAGAGGGACTATCAAACTGTATAAAGTTTCATGAAGAGGCACCCAACTGACGACTCAGGCGAGCGGCACCAGCAACCTCCGTTAACCACCCACAAACGTTTCGACTGTAGTGGCAGCAACAATGCAACAAATAAATAAACAAACAAAAAACTACACAAGCCATTGCTGCAATTGTATCGTAAAGAGAAACGCAAACTAACTACCTTGCGGTGCTGGACTGTTGTGTCCAGTTTTAAATACCGACTGGGGGGTTCGCTAAATGTAATCTCGCACTTACTCTAACCACAGCAGTTTGTAGCGAGTCATTTCCTCATCGTAAACCAACGCTGTACTCATCTTGAATCTTGTGTTCTGGGTGTCTCCTGGCGAGAAAACTGAAGACTATGGAAAGAGAAATGAAGGCTCACAGCGCCTCCCTTGAAACACCGTAAAACAGGAAAGCGCTCTGTTTCCAGCCCTGGAGCAAACATTGGCTGTGTCCAAATTCGCGGGCTGCATCCTCCGAAGGACTCATGTTCGTTCTATGACGTCACTGCCTGTGCGACTCGACCGCACATCGTTTCTAGATTCTAGAAAGGCAAGATGGGTTCCTTCGACGACTTTACAGGCTACTTCTCATGTAGCCTCCATGGACCGCATAAAGAATTCGGAGATTCTCTCTCTCTCAATCAAATATGTACAAACTCCTGAATTATTCGTGAATATAATATTGTACATGTAAATTATACAAATGTAAATTTCAGAAAAAACAAAAAAATAAAAAGGCACCTGGAAGTTTGCTCTTTTATTTTCCATACAAAAACAATATTGTGCTAATGTTGAAAATCACATTTACAGGATAATTAAAATGTTCAAAGTAGTTTTTTTTGTTGTGAAACTTCATATCTTGTTTGCAAATTGTTCATAATCGTGCATAAGCGACCGTTATCCCGGATTTGGCGGGATTTCTCACACTTATGGATTAATCACTGCCCCATGGTCAAGATGGCTCGATAACAGTATTGCTGTTCCTAAGACAAAAATATAGCAGAGTGGTGAAGAGCAAAACAGGAATTTTTCAGTCCAATACATTTCTTGCTGTTTTCGCTCTCATTCTACCTTCTATCCCTCTACTCTGTCCCTCCAACTCCTACACCAGAGCCTAACCTAGACTCTGGTCTAGGTTCCTTCCTTATAATACCCCGATAAAAGAACTGGGTGAAGGTTCGCCCAAAACTTGAACGTTGGTGCCGGTCCATTCCATTCTGTTCAAGTCTTGTCCGGGTCCGTTCACCCCTCAGTGACAATGTCCGCTTCTTGCGTCTTGTTTGCCGTTTCCTCCCGTGTTCTCGTCGGGCCGTCGAAGCTCCCCTCCTCCTTCTGCGCCTCCCTTCTTTTCACTTCCTTTCTCCTCCGCGCCCCAAACGGCAGCAGGAGCGTCCGCCCACATCTCTTCCGGAAGCACGGGTCGCAGGCGGCGTAGAGCAGCGGGTTGAGGCAGGAGTTGAGATAGGCCACACAGGTGACGTATGGGTGGGCCGCCAGCATCATCTGATCCAAGGTGCAAGAGTATGTCAGAAACCCGAACTCCAGGAGAAGGGACAGAGTCTTGTTGACGTGCAAAGGCAGCCAGCACAGGAAGAAGGCCAACACTAGAGTCACAATGACTCTGAGGAGCCTGCGCTGGCGGCGGCGGTCGGGTCGAGGACCACGGCCGAAGTGTCTGCTGAGGAGGCGGGCCAGGGAACAGTAGCACACCAGCAAGACCACGAGGGGCAACAGGAAGCCGAGCAGCGTTGATTTGAGGCTCAGGGCGGCAGCCCACCACATCTGGGCACGCTCTCTCTCCTCCTCATCTGGCTCGTCTCCGATCAGCATGGAGTAGTCCATCTGGCACGCGAGAGAACCCGACTCATCCGGCCAGTCGGACTCCTGCACGGAGCGCAGAAGCAAGCCGGGAAGCGCCAGCACCCCCGCCAGCAGCCACAACCCCGCCAGTGGCCACGCGGGACGGGTGGGCGGGCGGCGGCGAAGGCATCCGGTCAGGACCCAGTAGCGCTCCACACTGAGCACGCTCAGGCTGAAGATGCTGGCGTACATGTTGAGGGCGGTGAGGAAGCTGCTGAGCTGGCACAGCGGTTGTCCGAAAGGCCAGTGGTACCCCAGGGCTGTGTACGCTGCCCACAGGGGAAGGGTGACCAGGAAGCAGAGGTCTGCTAATGCTAAGCTAGCTATCAGAGAGTCCGTCAGGGAGCGGCACGGGCGCGGGGGCCCTGGAGATGAAGAGCGGGAGCTCTTGGATGCATCGTCACACTCCTTCCGGTCGGTTCGACAACACGGCCTCCGAAATCCTGCGGGATGTCGCCTCCTCCCGTCGGCTCGGTCCACGTAAGCCCACAGCACCAGAGCGTTGCCCAGGCAACCCAGCACAAAGGCCAGCAGGTAGACAGAGGGGATGATGGAGAAGGAGGGAGACCAGTCTGTGTAGTCGCATTGGAAGAAAGGAGAGGGCGAGGGGGATGTCAGGGGGTCTGCGTCTGACATGTTGGACTTCATGTTTGCCCGTCTTGGCTTAGCTCAGCTGATCTAAGTACGCTGAAAAAAACCCCAAAAAGTTGAGTGAACTCCAAATTGCACGGCAACAAAATATTTAAAGTTTTGCTAAGATGAAAATTGGCCTTCTGCATTTTCAACAAAGAAGAGTTTACAGAACTATCTTCGTCTTCAATGATTCATCTTAGACCATTTTTTTTTAATACCACAAAACCTGGCATCTGAACTGGGGTGCGTAGACTTTTTATTTCCACTGTCGGAAAGTGTGATGATAACCATAGAGTAGGAAACCGAACGTAGTCAGCCATACATGGCTTCTGAGTACAGCAGGAGCAATTAAAGTTATTAACAACACATTTCATGACGCGGACGCTAACAAACTTAGCATGAAGCAGAAGGTGAAATGTGAATCAATCGTGGCCCCATGCACCAACGTCCTCAAAGGGTGAGCAGGTGCACTTTAATTTTACTTACCTGCAGAAACCCCTTCAGGTTGAACCAAAATCCGTTGCAGCCTCTCTCGTGTTCAGTAGTTGCTTTCCTTCTGATGCTTGCATGGTGAAGATGGCGTCCATCTTTTAAACAAGCTGACCCCCTCCTCTCCTCTCCTCTCCCCACAAATATCCACATCGATCCATCCCTCCTCTCACTCGTTCTCACGGCAGACCACACCGGTGGAGTTACGAGACAAGCAAACAGCACCCCCCACCCTCCTCCTGCAACTCAAGCACACTCACACCTCCCAGGAGACACAATAGGATCCACCATAGTCTGCTTGCGCGGGCAAACACAGATGCAAAAGGCTGATTCAACGCGTCGAAATGCACGCCTATGCAAATGTGTGACAAACACTTCTCGTCAACACGCAATCAAAACAGCACAAAAGACCCCCTGAGACTCCGACAGTATCATTCAGAGCAGGCGTGACAATTCCCTCCCAAATGGTGAAAGAGTCAACAAAACGAGAAAACGAAGCTAAAGTCATTAAAAATATACAATTGCCGTTTTTTTTTGGCATGAAAAGAAGTTACAATTTCAAGAATGTCCTTCGACGAGAAAAAAGTTGGAAGAAAATGTTGAAAAAAAACATTTTATCAGAATGGTAATCATTGTGAGAAATTTTATAAGAATGGTTTTTTTTTTACTCATAAAAAAAGGTGAGTCTTATTACGACAATAGTCATGACCAAAAAAAAAAAAAAATGACAATCGGATTCAAGGAAATTAATAAGAAAATATCGGGAAAAGGATTTTTTTTTTTTTTTAATGAGACTACTTGTAAATATGAAAATATTTAAATAGGCCACATAATGTGACATGGGATAATATGAGGGGGAAAAAAAAGATGTAATTTTATGAAATAAAGTTCACTGTGTAAATTAGAGCCAGCCTGAATTACAAGAATAAACTTAATACAAAAAATAGTGATTTTAAGAAAAAAAATGTGAGGGCAAAACATGGTGAAAATTAAAGAAAAAAAACAAGAAAAAACTCATACATCATGAGGATTTTTTTTTTTTTTTACAAATATGAACTGTTTTGTTGAGTGTCACGGTTTCCCAGAATTTCACTTTTTTTTCAGTGTACTCTTTAGTATTAGTGCAGTACATTTTGCCCTCTAGAAACACGAGCAAAGCCTTCCAGACCATTATAGAGAATATAGTATTAAATATGTCCCCCACCCAAAAAAAATACAAACCGACTCAGCTTCTCAATGATTTTAATCCATCCTCTCTGCCAGAGTCGCTCATACATTCAGTCAAATGTTATTAAAAAAAATAAAAATAGAAAAAGGAAGAAAATTCTCAAATGTCCGCACAAGCAGATACACAAGCGATCTCTGCACTGAGGTGATTTAAAGAACGCTAAAACATCTAAAATAACACAGTTATTGGTGCTTTTCCGATTGTGAAAAGAGAAAAACGACAACAACAAAATAAAGCCAGTCAGATTTACACCCTGTGAGTGTGGCCAACAGGAAGTTGCCAAATAATTGGCTTGGGCAGAAGTACCTAATAATGAGGCCGGCGGCGTCCTGGTGTCAGTTGAACCAGGTGGTGTTGAGCTGCGTCTGTTTCTTGATGCTGGTGTCCAACTTGAGCACTTCCCGGATGGCCATGGTGGCGTACGTCGAGGGTGGCAGAGAGAACTCCAGCCGAAGCGCGCGGTACTTCCCTTCTGTTCAGAGGTGCGGGGGGGGAGAGGAGCAGAAGACAAAACCAAAAACCTTCAAAATCAATACTTACCAATACGTCAATTACAGATACCGTACAAAGCTGTTTACGGCAATGTTTCTTTTGAGTCCTGACCTTTGTTGAACACCGGCGCTGGTTTCTTCTCAATTTTCTCAAAGTCGGTGTGGACCAGAGAGATCTTGGGGTCGTCGTACTGGATCACCTCCCTAACACAGAAATGACACAGAGTGCACTGAGTTTTTAAGCGATTTAATTTGTAAATGATTCCTAACCAGGAAAGAAAGCGTTGTGGAAAATAATCCAATTTCACAAAGACTACTTACTTCAAATAACGCACCAGGGTACAATCTGTGACATTTTTGTAGTGTGTTGTGAGATTTTTATTGAGTTATTGAAAAAAAAAAAAAAAAAAAAAAAGATGATTAGAGGTTGGCAAACACTGCTCCAGTCAACCACTGACTTTTTTTTTTTTTCCATTCGAGGCAGGAAAAACTCAAGAGCGGATCAAAGCGGCACCCACCAACTGACATCGCTGGGCCTGATGAGGACGCGTCTGTAGGCTCCAGCCAGCGAGTAGTCCTTAATTTTGTGTCGCATGTTGTCGATGTCCAGCCCGTCGGCGCTCAGCATCTCTCTGTAACCTTTACCCACTGGCGCGCACACACAAATTTTTAACATTCACTCCCAAAAACATATTTTCACACTTTATACATTCAATCCCAGTACTTATTTTTATTTTTCCGCCCCCTCATCTTTTTTTCAAGACTTGCCGTTTCAAAAATGGGTCTGAAAACGGCTG